GTCTTGCATTGCCACTAACGCCATGAGAATGACTGTTTGCTGATTCTTCCATGAAGAATATCTCACCCAAAATAGCTCGTGAGTCTCATCAAAGTATTTCCTGATCGAGAAGTGGTCCAGACCATGATCCAAGCATATGTTTTGACAGGGGGGCGTGTCCACTGCGTAACCCAGCAAAGCCCCACGCTAATTAGGCCACGATTTCTGTTTCCTAACTAACTATATTCCCTTTTCGGACTATCTCTGAACATTATAAGTCGTGGATGTCACTCAAGTGCCGCCCAGCTGGCCGTCCCATCCCTGAATCTGAGGGTTCACTTCTGTCCCACACGTAGCTCAGCAGGCCTGTGAGCCTTTCACAAGCAAGGACTGCTTCTTATGAAAGGCAACAAATAAAGAGACTTCAAAGCTGCAGGATATAACATCGTGTGGTTGCCTTGAGAAGATAGCTAGCAACTACGACTGGGGGAATTTGAAATAACATATCAAGACCACTAACATAGCATCCGATATAGACTTCAATTCGCAGACATTTAAGCGAATTGCAGACCCAATACAGAACATACTATTTCCTATTTATTCAATATTATGAGTATTCTTAACAACCAAGAACACAAAGTCCGCACCGTAAATGCCAGTGCTGAGCATGGGGTGTGAGTGTGTCGCTTTTTATGTCACCCTCCAACTAGCACATAAGCCAGCATATGGGTGATATAAAACAATACACCAAGACCATCGATTTCAACATAATGGCAACAACAATTAACTACGTAATGAAGAAATCATCAAATTTAAAAACATGGTGGTTTTGCCAGCTCCAAGTAATATTCAATTCATAACTTCTATGTGGTATACCCGTTTCGTTTCAGTCACTTGCCAACCAACTGTCTCTGTGCTGCTTGGGATCACGCAGTCACGTGATTGTCCAACGTGGGAGTTATGCAAGCATCGCCCGAAATTTGAAAGGATCGCTCTCCACGATTATCCCAATCTTTTGCCGCCGCCACGCAGAATCCCACCGCCTATATTATAATCCCATATCGACGCCGTATAATGCAGCGTACTGTATCCCCCCCGACCGCAAATTTCAGCCACTGGGAACGGCAGACCCGAGCCAGGACGAGAATAGTTGCAGAGCGGCCCCCGACATCGTCGAGTCACATCCCAGCGATGGCCACGGCCGCCACGAACACGCATACGTACACGAGAAGCAGGGTCTGCGGCATTGCATCTTCACGAGTCCCACGACTGAACTGCCAAGCCCAACATCTGCAGCCCCCCCGTACCCGCCGGGTTTTGAATTCTGTTGCCATCCCCGACCGAGTTGCGTCGTATTCCACCGAGCGCGATACGGCATTGTTTCCTCACACTATCACCCCCCTCGAGCGTTCAGATTCCCATCACGGGCATTCATTTTGCGAAGGAGACGCTACAAGCAATAACGCACTGTGGTGGATCTCCGATCCCGGCGTAGTGCGAGTGCTCTCGACTTGGGGTGGCAGACCGGTCACAAGGGCGCGCTGTAAACAGACAGGCATGCGATACGCAGACCACCTTGCCATTCGCACACCTCCCAAATCTGTTGTCCCACCGAATATGCCCGGGTGCTTCCGCCTTCGAAACATCTGAACCTGTTCGTTGACGGTAGGTAAGCGCATGGATTGCCGCCAGGGGTAGCGACTCGGTGAAGGAATCGAAACCGTGGAACACAGCCAGCCACTGGCAAAAATAGCCTGCGGTGTGCACCCCCTTCCCTTCTGCTGACAGACTTTTCCCAAGAGGTACCTGCCCGTGGGAGAGAATCCTCGCCGGGCGCCTCACGAGCCATCTAGTAAGCCCACCGTAGACCTTAAAGCAGGAGGTAGCAGCCGCCCATTAATTCAGCGTACACCGCTGCTGCGCGAGGACGAATAGAGGTCCCCTACCGCGGGCAAAAAGCATGCAGAGCGGGAGGGAGGGAGGCATGTACGCGCGCAGCGTCCAGGATGCCACAACGGCGGTGCTGCCTTTATCGTCAGCGTCGCATGGATCCCATGGTAGGGGCATGCCATACTGACGGGTCTGCATCCTGGTTGAGGAATTTCCATAGGGCCCAGCCGGGCACCGTGCAGTGAATGGTGAATGGAGGCACACGCCCGTCCATAGTCGTCCCAAGATATTACCCCATACTAATGTGGAAGGCTCTTTCTGCCCTCCCTGCTCCCACGAGCCAACACAACACCGCGCTGCGAGAGCTTCTTCCCCCTCGGCCATCCCGGCGAAGAAGCTGGGGGCTAGAGGCCCTTCTTCTGGCCGGTCACAAGACGTCCTCAGGAACAGTCTCGCCTGGGGGGGAGGCGTCCGCCCTCGGACATCAGCCCAACCCCTTGATGTCACGCAGGACGCTTACTCGACGGTGCTACCCAAGGGGACCTGTCGCCCTGGTCTCGTCTCCTCTTTTTGCCCACATCCTGCGAAGATGCATAAAGGGAACTGCCGAGCTGTAGGAAGGGAAGCAAGCCTACAGTCTTGAGACAACCAGGCACGGGCCGCAGCCGCCCCCCTGTAAATTACCATGCGCCGCCCTTTGCCCACAGCGCCGGGGAGACGCCCCGGCCATCAGCAAAATGTTCTGGTAGGTCGAGGACGAAGGCCCCGGGGGTCGCCATCCGCGGCTGTCCTGTGGACAGAAGGTAGGCTGGTAGGATTCTTAGTGTCTGCATGCGATGTAACGGAGGTCGCTGCTGGGCTGGGTCCTTCGCTTCTATTTCCCAAGCAGGACACCATCTCAATCCTTCTGGGCGAGCAAGCGAGACGAGTGCATCATCATACAGTGCTGGCCGTGTCGATGCTCCCTTGCCCGTGCGTCCAAGGAAGTCGGGCGCCGACCGGGCCGGTGCTGAAACTTTGCGCCGGAAGGTTGACAGAAACCGCGACTGGCTTCATATCCGGGTAGGTAGTGTGACAGTTTATCTGCCGTCGCAAGGCGTGGGATTAGCAAGCTGCATCACAGCCACAGGATGCTGGCGGCCGGCTTATTTCAACAAGTTGGGGGTGCAGACTCACTGCAAGGTTGTTTCGTGTGGCGGTTACACCCATTCATGAGTCTCATGAGCTCCGATGCTATGTATGGCATCACCAAGATCCCCAGGAATATTCCCCCGATGAGATCCGCCACATGACCTGGGCGTAGCCGCCCGAGATGAGGGGAGAGGAGAGTGGTGGCGAGTGATGGTCATCCCCATCCAAGCGTGCAAGCGGGGAGTCGACACCCACTCAACCGCCATCGACCAGCCCGCAACGGTGTCTGTCTCTGCTCGAGAGGGGTTCTGGTCAATCGAACTTGCGCATGACGTAGAGCTAAGACGTGCGTCTCTCTCAAATGTCAACCCGTCAGTCAGCCAGGCCCAACCGAAAGGTAAGCACGTCAGGAGCTGGTTGGTAAGTGTCGCGGTTTGAAGCAGCAAAGACGCAATTAGCTAAGTCTTAGTCGAGCCTTATGAGATCAGTGGGGTCCTCTGACAGCTCAATTAGAGATCTCCCAGCGGGCATCTGTCAGCCATCTTGCTGCCCGTCCGTGAGATCTTGGTAGCTTGCCTTCCCCACTTCCACCCCCAGATTCGGGCTACCCTAGACCGTAGACTGTCCTCATTAACGTCATATCCCGCAACGTAGACCACATGTAGCCCAGCAATCTCATCTGCTCACTCTCACTCCCTCCACTCTGTAGACTCGAGATTCAGTCTAGCTCATCAGACGAAATGGCTACTCCCCGTGTCTTTCTTGTCCGTCACGGCGAGACAGAGTGGTCTCTCGATGGCCGCCACACTGGCCGCACTGATATTCCGCTGACAGCCAACGGTGAGAAGCGTGTCCGAGCAACTGGCCAAGCTCTCGTTGGTGACGACCGCCTTATTGTCCCCCATAAACTCGCTCATATGTGAGTTTCTCCTCCAGCCTCCCCTTGGATCGTTTGATTGGCATCCCCATCACGAGCGGTCCATTCGGACAGGGCCATATGGGATATCCAACCAAGCCTCATCCACCGAGACACCGGGCTAATGCCATGCAACCCTTCTTCCTCGCTACAGCTACGTATCCCCCCGCAAGAGAGCCCAGCGGACATTCGAGCTCCTCAACCTGGGCTTCTCCGACAAGGACCTACCCTGGAAAGCGCACGGCGAGGCTCCCGTCCGCCGCGAGGGCATCTCCGAGTGCGCCGCCAGGATCCAGATCACCGAGGACGTCCGTGAGTGGGACTACGGCGACTACGAGGGGATCACCAGCCCGGAGATTCGCAGAACCCGCACCGAGCAGGGCTACAAGGGAACCTGGGATATCTGGAGAGACGGGTGCCCCGGTGGCGAGTAAGTCAAAACTGTGCCCCTCTCCTCTCATTATACTTTTTTCTCCTGCATGTTCCAATCCTCCTCGCAGCGACATACAACCCTCCTTTACCCGTCTCACCTTTTTTTCTCACCCGTATTAACGTGTTGTGTAGGGGCCCCGAGGACGTGACGGATCGTCTGGACCGTCTCATCAAGGACATCCGCGACAACCATCACAAGCCCATGATTGGCAAGCCCAAAGAAGAAGCCGCCGACGGCGACGTCCTCGTCGTCGCGCACGGCCACATCCTGCGAGCCCTAGCAATGCGCTGGGCGGGGAAGACTCTCCAGGACGGCCCGACCTTCCTCCTCGAGGCAGGCGGTGTCGGAACTTTGAGGTATGTTCTCATTACAACGTCTTTGGCGCCCGCCCTCCTTCTCTCTGTCGCAGCATCTCAATCTAACACGGGGCCACACAGCTATGAGCATCACAACATCGAGGAGCCGGCCATCCTCCTTGGTGGTGCCTTTGCCGTCGAGATATGAGAAAGAAGAAATGGATAGTTAAGCCTTGTTTCATACACCTCACGGTATTCCATCACATCAGATTAGACAAGAAAAGAGCCATCTTATACTGTAACGTTTTCTAATACGCTGTGCCCGGCATGTAACAAAAAGAACTCTCATCCTCAGCTACAACTTACTCCCCCTCGCAAAGAACACCTTCCGAGTCATATCATGCCCCCCCTCCTTCGCGCCCCGAAAGACAAGCGGCCTCTCCAGCCTCTTGAACCCAAACTCGCCCCCCGCCCCCGCCGCCTCAAAGATCCCCCGCACCTTCTCCTCCGTGAAACCGTGATGCTTCACCCCGTTGGCGCCCCCATGCCCCTCCAGCGCACCATGCGGCTCGAAGTCGACGATGAACAGCACACCCCCCGGGCTCAGCCGCTCGGCCAGCCGCCGCGCCGCCAGCGCCGGGTCGTCGAAGTGGTGGAAGCCCATCCCGACGCCCGCAAAGTCGAAGCCCGAGAACTCGGCGCCGGAGAAGAGCGTCGCCGGCTCCTCGTCCTTGGAGATGAGGTTGCCCAGGTAGGCCTTGCGCTTCGGACCCTTGCCTGATTGTTAGTCTGGCCGATAGTGCGAACAAGGGGGGGCTGGACAAAGACAAACCTCTAGTGATGACTTGGCATTGTATCTCTCAATCATGGTTTCGGAGACGTCGACGCCGACGCATTCGCTTGCCTGGTCGGAGAGGGCCTGTCATTTCCCATTTGTGAGCCCGGTGCCATGATCAGCGTCGTACAAAACCTACATTGGTGAGGAGTCCAGTCCCGCACGCGTAGTCGAGGACTCGCCCGCCGGGCCGCATGGCGATGAAGTCCTTGTGCATCCTCAGCTCCTCCTCCAGCATCGTCAGGGCCTCTCTGAATTTCTCGTCATAGTCGGAGCCCAGTTTACTTCCAAGCGCACAGCGTCAGCAATCAGTCATCAGATCGGGACAAGGAGAGGCGGGGTTGGCGTACTTGAAGTAGGTCTTATTCACAGCGGCGGTGTCGGACATCTTGCCTATACGTCTCCCCAGAGAAATCAACAAATAAAGTATGATGAATCACAAGTCTATGCCTTCGCAGTCTAAGTTATTGAGTGTTTTGTTTTATTTCAATGTAGCTACCTACTCATCCAAACCGTCCATTTCGTTTAAGTACACAGGTGACGGAGACTTTTCGGAGAGTTCAGCGGCCATTTCTCACTTTCGATCCAAGGCAGAAACCTCCGTGCATTGGTTGCCGTATTCTGTATCGGAGATTTATTACGACGCGCATCTTCATCGTAGGTGACTCACCAAGCATATGGTGAAATGATACACCGCGGGCGACGACACTGATCGCCACCAGCATCCTACTACCCTCAGTGGGAGAAAAAAAATTCCGGGGACGGGTGTTGACCCCATCAGCTCAGCCCAAATTCCCAAGTTGCGGTGAAAGCCGTCCCAGACGCATAGGCATGCAGGATGGGTGATCGTCCCGGCCCACGGTCGAAAAGCAAATGCTCAATTGTCGTCATGGTGATGCCTGATCATCAATGTGTCACCAGCCTCACTTCTCATCTCCCGAAGTGTGGTCACACACGCAACCGAGATATTCCTACACAAGCAGGGAGGAAGGAAGGAAGATAAAAAGCAAACATGCACATGCTGCCCCCCTCTCATCTGCCCATCTGCATGGGCGAATCTCGAACGTGGAGAGAGACAGACACCAGCTCTGCTGCATGGTAAGCAGCCGCATCAAGCCTGCAGGCCTTGGCTACAGCCAGCCAGCCACACACACGTTGGACTGGGGGCAGCCATTTCGGAAGTAAGACGTGGCCAGCTGCGATACGGCAGGCTGTTCAACAGAAAAAGAACAATGAGCAAATGGTAAGACGATTATCAATCACTGGATCCCGAGTTTTCACGATGTGCTCACGGGTTTCTTCGCAGTGATACCATGCAGGTTTTTCTTTCCATCGAAAGACCTACAGCCAGCCCACAGGCTTACCGCCGTGCATGATGGGCTACCGCCCTTGTGAGCCGTTCATGGGCCGATCACTTGACTTTGCTGCACGAGCGCCTCGGTCCGCCAGAAAGCTGTTGCCGTGAAGACCCTTGCTCCGATGGATCGGTCCCGTCCATAAAAGCTTTGACATCTCGTCATGAGCAAGCACACGTACCTTCAGAACGGACTGTCACTTGCAACAAAGATGCGGGGTATGGAAGGGCCGCGTATTGGGCTGCAGAGGGAGGAGAGGAAATAAGCCGACGCCGCCCAATATAACTGGCTGGGCAATACAGTAGTCTGCTTTGGCAGGTCCTTTTGGGTGTGGACAAGATGGATGGGAGGGGGTGCTTGGCAAGCTCCCGGCTGAGTGACATTTCGATAGTTGGCCAGGCCCGGGCCACAACGTTGTGAGGAAACATGCCCGTGTGAGGAGGGGAGAGGGAACCGGGCCTCAGGTGGTTGGTTTCCTTTTGCCCCGACTCAAGATACGAAACCTGCCAGTATTGTCCTAGCGGCGTTGGCGATTCCTCATGCGAGTCCCAATGCACCTTTGACGAAAAGGCGCCTGCATGGCCACGGTTTTGGGGAGGGGGGGCAGCTGCATGAGTACGGCCCAAGGTCGCTGGTCGAAGCCTGCAGAAGCAATCGCTAGCAGTCCTAGCTCACTCCAACTCATGTATCAGGTCCCGATGGTTTGACTGGGCTGGTCGAGAGTGGGCGAACGGGCCGATGCCGCTCGCTCAGCCTGGGACTGCGGGAAGTGGAGGCGGCCGCTGGGCCATGCATTTCTCACCCAACTTCATCTGGACAGACACGCATGTAGGGAGGTACATGCGAGCATCCCATGGCGGTTTCATGTTGGGGAAGGATGCACCAGTTCATTCAATCCCTTGTCGTTCCCAGCTATATGTGCGCTGGGGCCTTGGGGCGAGTGTAACCTCTCTTTTGCCCCGTTTGTATATTGCTGCAGGAAGACGCAGTGAATAATGCAGCTGGGTTCAGTTGTGTCGATGGGTGCACATATTTCCTCATTTCTTGGGAGCGAGGTCATTCGCGGGCTGCCAGGCCCCTTCTTGGCTCAGGCCGTGTTTCTCATGCTGCAGAAAGGCCCGTCCGTCACACACACACCGCCGATTCAATGCAGTCAATCATCCTCGTCATCTCCCTCACTGAGCTCTTGTCACAACGCACACCACGGAAGACGATTGCCTGGCTCATTCACCTTGGGGTGAGAGCGATCTCTGGCCTTGCTATGGCGAGAGCGCCCAGGGGCTTGCAGTAAACGCGACAGGGTCCAGGAATAGCCGCACGCTTCGCCTCCCATGCCAGCTCACAGCCGGTAGCTCCACGTCTTTCTCCCGAAATACTCCACGTTTGCTCAAAACAATAAACTGCCTAGGCGGTTTTGTCGCCCCCATGCCCAGCCGGCCGGGGTACGAGCAGCCCTGCTATCACAAGTCTGTTTTGTGGCAACATCACGCCCATCCATGCACCTTGTCCGCTCCAACTGGTGAATGTGTCAGATATCGGGTCGTCAAGAAAGGGCCAAGACTGGACATTCTAATTGAGATCTTGGTACATACGTATCGAGCATTGGCGACGGCCAATGGCTCCTTGCAAGACATGTCAAAAGAAAAGAAAGAAATAAACAAGGGCCCCAGAGTGCAGATTCCAGGGCCTGCCGTCTCCCCTGCTCAAAGAGGATACCAATACTCGTAGTGAATGGAGCTAGACCACGGGTGGTTGCGCGTTGGTCCTGGTGCCCACTGCTGGCCAGCTCACATGCGTCACCGTACAGGCCGTCGTGCATGCAGACGAGGTCCCGTGGGCGGCAGCCTGCATTAAATTTGCACATCTTCCATCTCGAGCTTGGATGCATGGAGGAGGGAGTCTTTGTTGTCTCGTCGTGCACCAACCACTCGGCGGCAGAGCAGGCGAGCCACCCAGCGACCGATGGGCCGGATCCGTTGACGTCGCGTCTACGAGGCAGCCATGACCATGTGATGCTGACGCTGGGTGATTCCGCTGAGGGATGACGATGGCAGTGATTATGTATATGGGCATCAAAATTGCTCAAGAGGAGCTCCTGGAGCGACGGCAGTGGCGGATTGGGGCCATGATTCAATCTCGCCCGCAAAACCGCCGCACGGGGCATCTCCAGAACAGTGCTGACCCGACGTTTCTAGCGTGGGCGAGTGGCAGTCGCGGTAGCACAAACAGCCAACAGCTGAAATGGGCAATCGAGTTTAGGCCATGCAGTGAAGCCTGCGTTCTCGATCGGCCAGTTTCGTCTGCCCATGGCCCCTAGCCGCTTTGCTCCTAGCACCGGCCAAATCTGCGAGCTGAAGGGACGCCCTCGGAGATGGGGAGAGGGGGCGTGGACGCGAGCGGTCTGACGGTGCGCCGCCAGCAGTTCCCGCACTGTACCGGCAAGTCCTTATTTTTTTCGTTGGAGATGGAGAGCTGGCGGATGACGTGCAGGGCCGCTGCGGCACCAAAATCGCGACCGTGCCGCCCCGTGAAATTGCGACCCGGCAGCCCAAACCTCTCCTGGCCTGGGAAGGGTTTCGCAGTAATTAGAGTTCGTCCTCCTCATCATGGGTGATCTGCGCCATGTTTTTTCATCCCGCTCTTTTGCACCCTGCATTCCATCCTGCCCTCCCTTGGGTTTGTGTGTCTTTGCTCCTTTGTCTCCCCTCCCACCCCATGGCCCATGTACGCACCGTCTCATTTTCCCCAAGACCAAGCAAGTCGTCCAAGGAAGGCCGAGGTGGGGAGGGGGTTTCAGACAGTCTGTGTGCGTCTGTGTGTTGTGTCTCGCCGGGTTCCAGAGACAACCCTGCTGGCTCGTTGGCTGGCTGGCTGGCTGGCATTGCGCATTCACGTCAGGCCTGGCTGCATGCATAGGTAGCGACATGGAATGATAGATAGCACGCCTGTCTCGGAGCGACAATAACAAGGAGATGTGCAGGCAGCAGGGCCGACTAGCTCATATCTTGAAGCTCCCAAGACCCAGCTCGAGAGTCTGAACTGGCCTAGGCGACGGCCAAATCGAGCTGAAGGCAGACAGATGCCTGTCTCTCATGCTCCCCTGTAGTGAATGAGCAGAAAGGTTGTGGTACCAGGGATGGGGATGGGATGGGATGGAGATAGGCCATGGATGCCACCCTGGGTCTGCCCCCCCTTCCACCAAACGACAGGACGAGTCACAACGACCACTTCCCACACAGGCGCGCGGTCCTAAAGCAACCACGCATGGCAAGCAGCAGCCAGCAGTCGTGTTAGCCTTGGATTCGGGCCATGATCGAGCTAGACCCAGCGCCCCAGAACGACCAAGCCCAGGACGGGTTGGCTGTGCGGGAATCCTGCAGGTAGCGCCCATTGTCCGCATCAGCTTTTCCTCACGTGACTGTCCTCGGACGTGTGCGATTGGCGGACCGAGCCATGTCTAAGCACAAGGCCAATCACCACCCTGGAGCCCGTCGGGGGGGGTTGCTGCCCAAAGGCTCGGGTCGTAAATAGCGCCGTATGGGCCCCTTCGCCCATTTCCCCCCTCCCCCTTCCCTGTCCAGCTGCATCTGTAGTGCGCGGGGCGACTAGCTAAATCCCAAGCGAAGTGTCGGTGAGGGCGCATTGAAATTTCCTCGCAATCTGCGGCCGGGCAGAGTGGACCAGAGCCAGGATTGCAGCCTGCCCACTAGCACACGATGGTAGAAGATATGTACGTACCCGGTCCCCTGGTAGCGGGCCACAGTGCGCGTGTCATCGCCCAGCACCCTCCCACCCCTACAGTGCATTTTCCCACTCGCTCACCTCGCAGCTTTGTACCGACGTCCCAATGGCAAGGTGTTTCTCTTTTTTCCTCCGCCCTTCTTCCACCCTCCCTCCCTCCCACAACCTCAGCCGCAGCAGGCCCCGACCAAAGTACCTAATAATCTACGTGCATCTGCCCGCTGAGCTCACTCCTCAGGCGGGCTTGGCTTCCATATCTCCATCCAAACAGCGCCAGTGTGGAATGGCGGTGCCCTGTAGTAGCAGCGACGTGCACGCTTGGCCGGGCCTCATGACCACCGCCGGCCACGGGATTGCCAGTCCTGTCACTGCATTACCGTAATATTTCTCGGGGTTGACTTGCATCCCCATCCCTCATTCCTAATTTCTACGCCAGTGATTCTCTCCGGTAGTCATCGTGAATGGGGCCGCCGCTTTGACCTCTTGTTTGCCTTACCCCTCCCCCCCCTTGCACCGCCGCCTTGATCTCGGTCTGGCTTGCTGTCCTTCCTTTGATTTCCATGCACGCCTCAGAAGGAAGACAAATGACGATGCGCAATGGCACGGGTCAGTACTTCCATCAAGGGATAGATAAATGTCCACGTTTGTACATGAATGTCTGTTGGTCGCCCAACACGCAGCAACCTGGCAGATCATTAGTTCACCCCCTCCACGCTGCGGTCATTCTGATGCTTGTCCATTGCAATCGGTCGGCATCTGGGAAGCAACCCACCCGTGCCAACACCGACCGTATCAGTAGGCTTAGCTAGGCCTGTGCGCTGGGAGTGGGCGGAATGACGCAGGGCAAACCACGGGGACAGAAAGAAAAAAAAACAATCCAAACACATGAGAACAAGGGCTTCGGCCTGCAGTCACGAGATACCCACCGCAGACTGCACTGCGCAGCAGATACTGCCGCATAGAGGGTCTGCGAATCAATCGCTTAGGGAGATCTGGTGCAATTATGACAAGTATGATGCAGACGAAACAAGCAAAGCCTCCATTATTTCTTTGCCTTGGCATAGGTAACCAACACAACCGCCGATCTAATAGGCGAGCAGATATGGGGGCTGGCTCGATTTCAACCGGAGAAAAATCTACTCATGTAAGTTGTGGGCGTGTGCGTCCTGTTGGCTGCAGCTAGAACTGCATCAAGCAGGTAGCAATTGAATATGAGGATAATTATGTCCAGTTGGCTACTACTCCTTTGACTGTATGTTTACGCCTTGACAAAGTCAGCATCCAAACCGCATCATCGCATGATGTCTATGGAGTACAGATATGCAACAGTAGGAGAATGGGACCATTTTCTATGGCCGATCCGATTCCGAGGTAGGGATCATGGCCTCTGCCTGCGAACTGTCGGGTAGGGCGAGAAAGACGGGCATCAGTTTGACATTATTGACATTGTCCCACCTTAGCATGAGTTATTCCCGCCTTGCGAAGGCAAAAGGGATATCGCAGGACTGAGCAATTGTCGCCTCAGCTGTGCGGAGCATCCGGCATTGCGATGGTCAAGTCCAGCGGGTGGCGTAGATCAGGCGTCATAGGAACCCGCTGCATCAGTGTGGCCAGTGCATTCACTGCCCTCCTGTTTCTGATTTGGCAACGCTATCCGATGAACAAGAGCCTCAACATATGCGATGCGAATGAGGAGGTATGTACGTAGCTCCGTGCATGTGGCCGGCCGAACCTTGCAATCCGAGCTGGTTGTCATCCGCCAAAGGTCCTTTTTTTGACAGCCATCATCAGTCAGTCAATCACGCGCACACCAGCCATGCTCTCGCACACCCAGAACCATGTGCCAAGCCGTGTACCTTGACATGCCGGCTGCCAAGGCTGGGGTCCAGTGGTTACTTGCAGTGCCATGCCCCTAAAAATGATGTCGGATCGCTGACGGAGAGGCAAGAATTGGAAAACTCAGCAGGTCACGAACACCAGGCAGTAGATCCATAAAACGATACAAACAGGCGGGAGCAACGGCTTGGCGGCATCACCAGGAACTCTCGAACTTTTCTTACTTCCATGATGCTTGACAAGCTGAGTGTAATTGCGATGCCATTGGCCAGCCGAGCACGGCGTTTGCTATGCCGAACTTGCTGCTCGGAGGCAACATTGCACTTCTACCTCTTGATTGGCCACTTGCAATGTTGCCAATGGACCAGGGTGCTGTCGAATAGCAGCCGAAGGATTGCGTTGTTTCCAGTCCATCGGGAGCCGTTTTGGCTCCACCACCTCAAGTGACAAGAAAAGACCTTTGCCCTAGTGAGCCACGGCCGCCGCCGCCGCCGAGCCCAGCAACCACAGCGGTGGTGCCCACTAACGCGCAAACAACTAATGACATTCCCATTTCGGTCATTTAGCTTGTCCTTTGCTTCTCGGTGGAGCGGCTGATTGTGGGCCGTTGGATTGCTCTCGGGTCGGACTTCACACTGCCTCTGTCGTGTTTCCCCGCCCTGTGGCCGTTCTTCTCTCTCTCCCCACGCCCCAACCCCTCAATGACGACGGTCATCCTGTGCTCGGTTCTCGCTGCAGTGTCCAAAGTTTCGATTCGCCAGCTCCAGCAAGGACTGGAGGTTGGAGGGTTTGCCCTGCGGGAAGGTAGCCATGGGTATGTGGCGCCTGTGTCTTCTTTCGGGACGCCTGCATTAGGTGGCGCATAGCGCTGCACTCCCCCCCCCCCCCCCAATCCACCCCCAGCTCGGCCATCCTATGAATTGAGGAGGCCCAGAATACGGCCATACTGCTGAGACTAGGAATCCTGCTACTGCTCCAGATGCGTGAGGAATTGGGACCCACGGAACGGTAGAGACAGCGCCGAATCAACAAGCTAATAAAAGACATCAGACGGCCCTTGGAAGGAGGATGAAATCCAGGTAAAACACTCTCGGTCACGAACCCAATAATAGACGGTCAGCCGAGGTAGGTAACCTTCACCACCACCACAGCCAATACAGAAGAGGAAGAACAATCCTGAGGAGGTGACATTCGACGATCTTAGCGGCGGAGCGGAACGCTCGCTCGCTAAAGGAGAAAGAAGGAGCATGCTAGGCAATCAGCAACCAGAAATACCTACGGGCGGGAGGACGTTCGGTGTGATCTTTGAGCAGCCACCCCCTGTCCTCTTAGGAGGGAGGGGATAAGACCACCTCAAAAGTGAGTTTCGCCGAGCGTTTGAGCCGGAAATGAAGCCTTGGGATTTCTACTGGGCGCTGACCGATGCATCTCGGTGGCGGGCTGCCTGGATTCGCAAAGTTCTCACCATGATCACGCTTCGGGCGGCTGTAGACGCAAGGACCAGCACTGGTGCAGGTTCCACAATACGAGGCATCCTTGAGAGCCAGGGTTCAGACTCGTGGCAGAGGGGCTCGCCCGTCGACAACAGCATAGGCACGCCGCCTAATGAGGCTAAAATCACGGGCCTAACCGCCATGCATGGCAACGAGGTCACAGTAAGCGTCCAGCACCGGGGCTGATGTGTGTATGGGTGTTGGAACAAGCAAACGGGCGCTGGGCGACCTACCTGGATTTGCATGTGTGTTGCGCGTGTGTGTGGTGAGAGCCAGACTGAGGCGGCATGTCTGGCCTCACACTACTGATTGAGTGGTGGTGGGCAGCCTGCGGTATGCGTGCTGCCACATTGCACTGGCTGCACGTCGAAGCTGGCACAAGAGTGAGGCAGCACGACATGGCAAAACGGGGCAAGTCAGGATGGGGATTATTGACAAACCTTACCGCACTGTTCCAACGCAGGAGTCGGAGAACCGATCTCAAAGCCAGATCCCCCTTGCAAGTCTGTGCACACTCGTGATCGCTTTTTTTTTCTCCCTGGGCCTCGTACATGTGCAAGGGGGGTTATAGCACCCGCAGCCAGATCAATAACGAAGGTTGAAGAACCGCCGATATCACCTGGCGAGTGGACCTAAAAGGAATCAGGGCTGGTGTAGGGTCGGCTGCATTGGCGATTCGACAAAGCAGGTGGATAAACGCCCCTTGGTTGAGCTCCCACCCGAGGGCTGTCTGGCTGTTCTCTCAAGCGCCCCCTTCTTTGAGCTGAGGCCCAGCAAAGAAAAAGAAAGAAGAGACATGTTGCATCAGAGTGTGACCATGAGGAGGGGGAGAGGGGAGGCTTGTCTCCGCACTTTTTGCGTGCACACACACGCACATTCACACACACACACACACACACCGCAGACACGTACCTTGTTTGGGCGTGAAGCTCTTGAGACGTTGGACGGCACACCATGACCACAGCTGATAGGCGCGCCTTGCCGGCCGACACACTACATGAATTATGCCTGCTTTGTTCCGTGTCGTGCCGTCCCGCTCGCGGCTGACACTGACAGGCTGATGCTGCCTGAGAGAGGTCATGACGATGACCAAGGAGTAGTGATAGGCGACGGTGATGATGGATGACGATGGCGATGGATGATAGGTGATAAGTGACAATGGGCTGCGGGCCAAGAAAAATCTTACCTACAAAACTCAGGTACCTGTACCTTCTTGCCGGGCAGGAAGCAGGTGATTGAGATGGGGAGGGCAAGGAAGGCGCTCCCCGTCACCGGAACGTCACATGGCGGAAAGAAGCTCGTCGCACAAATGCAACAGCGTCGTACCCTGAACCATCCATCCAGAAGGTAGGTCTGGAGGTGAGAGCGGAATTAGCAGTGCTACCCTGCCCAATGCAAGGCAGGTTGGGCAACGGGACAACTGCAACTTCCGCCCGTAAGCTGTCCCAACCCAGCAAGTCGCAGCAGCAGCAGCCACACCAGCGGCGGGTGCTCCCTGGGAGCTGAGAGTTGCAACACAACACCCCGCAACAAGCCCTACGACCTTCATTTCCCGCTCTTGGTACAGGCACGGGCCTGGACCTGTACTACCACAGCACGGCACGGGTGCGGTACGGCGCGGCGGACGACCTGTCAGATTGCCGAGGGACAAGTCACTTCTTTGAAACCACCCTAGGAAAAGCCACCCAGCCCCTATCGAAGCACCTGCGCATGAGTGAAAAGGCTAATGCGACTGGTGGTCCGGTTTGATTCGCACTGCCATGGGAAAGAAAGAAGCGCCGCGCTGGCGGGTTACGTGCCTCAGCATTCCGAGCCTCTGAGAACCAAAGCCTTGGTACCTAGGTGGTAGGTCTTTGTGGCTGGCTGGCTCTTCAGGGATGCAGGTCTGGAGCACCGCCTTGACGCCCAAAACTCGTCCAGGCAGGCCTGCGTATGCTGCATGCCCACCGAGTGACGCACAAGTGACGGGAAGCAATTCTTGGGCAAACTATCACAGGCCGTGGAGAGCTCCCTCCTTCCGTAGGCCGTATTGGGAGCATGTCCGTACGAACCATCATACCACGTTAGGCGACGAAGGGACATGGAGAGCCCTGCCACGAGCCACACCTACTGCTTGCCATTTCACATCTTCCAACATACCGCCTCTCACCGTCTGGCATCTCCTCCCATCTGCACACACTCATCACATCCATGATGCGCACGCACACATATATACACACACATGCACATTCCACCATGCACGTACTCACAGACACGGCAACTGGTTGCATGGCTGGGTCCATGGTACGCCGACTCGTATTCACCCTCCACCACGAATCAAGGCGATCAGGGCGACCAAACCGGCTGGTGTGCTAATTTCTAGTTATTATTATTGCCCGCTGACGGATATGACGTTCCCCCCTGCTAGCACATGGATCGGGCGATCCCGCTGAGGGACTTGGTGACTGCTGGATCGACCTCGGGACAAAGTGCAATTAATAATTCATGCAATTTGGCAAAAGGCAATGAAACAACAAAGCACAGAGTGAAGCTCATAGCCGCGAGGAGCGGTGCAGGTAGATAGACTGACCTGTCATGTCTCTCCAGGCGCCCTCTTGACGCTCTCTCGCTCCGGTCTCATCTCCTCCTGCTGGGTTCTGATCTTCGGGCGTCATTTTCTTTTTTTTTATTTCCCGCCCAGAAAAGGGTTGCACCGCCCAGGATCAAATCCCAAATGCGCATCCACCCCTGTTACCCAGCCGGGCGGTGAGGGCGCATCCCCCATGCAACGCTTGAGACCTGCCTTCCCACTGCAGGTCTCATCTGCAGAGGAGCCAGGTCACAATTGCTGCTGCCGATGAGGGAGATGTCAGCGCCAGACCGGACTTCCCAGGCAGGCAGCAGACCAGACACAAGGGACCGGGGGGAGGAGGCCACAACAGGATCGAGGACGGGATATCCACACCCCACACCCTACTTTGTTTCTATCCGGTCCCTTGTAGTGCTTCCCACAGGTCTGGCGATGGCGGCCTGCCGACAGCACTGTTGCACCGGCTGCAGAAAGGAGACTGATATCAATCTAGCGCCCTTGGCCCCTCTCCTCAGCCCTCTGGTCCCGGTCCCAAGGGAAGGGCCTGCAGGGAACAAGCAATAGAAGGGTCGGGAGTACGACAGGGCGGGAAACGTACAAAGAAGACACACGCGGAGAGTAAGCCGTGTGCGATGCCGGGACCGACTGCACCCTCTCAATTCTTACGTACAGACAGACGCCCAACTGAAGTCCACAGGATCCTGCCGATGAACACCTGACCCCGCTGATGGTGAGGAGACGGCACCGCGGGGGAGAAAAGGGACCCAGATTGAGATCACTTCCCAAAATACTACCTTCTTACCTCCAGATGAGTCTAATGAAGGGTGCAGACTGCGGAGAGCCCCTCCCCCATTACTTGTCGGGACCGCCTTCTAATAAGCCGGTTGAGAAGGCTGTGTCGGTCGCAGACCGGAGCATATGACTGGTCTGCAGGGATCCTGGCTTTCTCTGGCTTGCTTCTTTTTTCCTGGCCTTGGTTGGTTGGGTGGTATCAAGTGTCTGGGCTGCTTTCTTTTTCTCAAGACATATTTTTGTTTTATTTTTCTTTCAGCGAGCGTAGCGACATGCTTCATTGTCATCCGGAACATGCCGGATCGGTGATTGGCCATAATTCCTTTTTCCTCAGCAGCAATATTCGCTCCACCCACTCAAAGTCTCAGTCGAGACCTCGGTGGGAGCTTATCAGAGCTTGATTTGAAGACAATATTCACTCGCTCGCATAGTACAACCAGCAACGCAGATACATGGCCTGCTGCCCGGAACCGATGGGCGGGGCAAGCCTGCTGTGGCGTCACGGTTGGTGGATTGGCTCTTGTCGCAAGTCCGCGGAGCGAAAAGTATTGGCCAACCTCAACAATCGGCTGGTTGGGATTTCCCTTCTCTTCCCGTTGACGGCGCCTGCAGCCCCAAACACTAATTCCATCACATCGCATCAATCCAGCCAATGCACATGTACATGGCCGGTACACGACTGTTTTCGAAACCCTGCATCCCAGCTAGGTACTTCAAGACATGCCCTCCCCTCGTGATCCAGGTTGGCCGACAAAGTGCAAGGTATAGGTTAGCAGATGGCACATGGATTTGCAAGGTACTAGCCCCTCCCGAGACCATCACCACCGCATTCGGACACCATTGACGCCCATTTGTCCCTTGCCCATGGCGCTGGGACGCTCGGTGCATGCCTTTTTTTACTAGCCGCCCCCAATATTACTTCTAGAGCGACGCGGCGACGGTGCTGTCCAACGCCCACGAAAATGGTGTGGCTGCTGGGCGGTTTCTGGCCTGGCCCACCATGTTTTACTGAGGCTATGTGACAAAGGATGTTTGTGGGCGGGTGCGCGTACGTGTATGTGTGTGTCCGTGTGTGTGTGTGAGTGTGTGAGTGTGTGTGTGTGCATGCCGTGGAGATGCCATTCGTCTGTCTGGACGAGAGGGCAGCTAACCGATGTTGGGTAGCCACAAAGTCTGTCTCTGGCGGTGGTTACCTACCCGACGCTCTCTCCCCCATCCATACGTAACGCAACGGCCGGGAGGGAGCTACGGCGCACGCGATGGGCAGGAGATGCAAAGATGGAGGAAGCTGGGGTCACGGATAGTGCCGCTGTCTGCTTGTCGACATCCGACTGACGGAGTGGTGCTGTGTGACATGATAACGGGCTCCATGGCTTATGGTGCACCAGAGGGCGGTGGACCCCGCCCCTGTCCGGGCTAGAGCACAGCGCAACACAGCAGAGCACAGCACCCGACAGCATTGATAGAACTGTGCTGCCCGGTGATGTGTTGACCCTACCTTGCAGCCACCGTGGGCAGGCACCCGGCGTCAGGCCCCTAAAAGGCACCTAAAAGGCACCTAATATAGGCCATCGCCCACTATACGCTGGAGCCCACCCGCTAAAGAGGCACATTGTTCGTGCGTCCTGCGGCCGCCTCTGCAACCCGCTGGCGGTCGGGACCACCCCAGACTGGCCTTGTTTGGGGCGGCGTGCTCATTGGCCATGGCTCGTGGCAGAATCCCCGCCGTTCCTCCCTTCTCTCCTGGGCCTTCCTTGGTGCCCCCTTCTCCCCACTCTTCTCAGTTCTTCTTTTCCCCTCTGCACATCCCATGCCATGCCATCCA